CATCTTTTTGAACCATAGCAGAAAGAATATTAATTTTTCTATCTCCAATAAATTCACTGAAGGCTTTTTTTAAAGATCATACATTAATTAAGAATTAGTTGAATAATTTAGATGAACAACAACAAAAAGAGGATCCTTCAGTTTATGCAGTCCCTTGCTTGACTTTGTTATGACTATGCAGATTCTGTCTTTGGTACTATGTTTGGAATTAAGTAGTGAAGGGATGCAGAGAATAAGTTCCCAGAAATCTAAATTCATATTTATTTTGAAAATGAACTATTGGAATAGTTCATTTTTTTGTAAGTTGGGACTTTTGTTCACTACTGGGGAAATCCCCAAATGCTGATCTCTTTTTGATAAAAATTTGTTTTCTAAAATGTATTCTCTTTGTTCTCACAGACCTGTTAAGTTCCTTGAGGGTAGGAATCAGACCTAGTTCATTTTTGTATCCTGGGCATAATTTTGGGCATACACAAAATGCTCAGTAAATGTGTGAATAATAGGATCTTTGAAATAGCAAAAAGATTGGACTTGTAGTTAGAAGGCCTGCTGTTTTTTCCCATTAATTAACTTGAGCTTTTGGACCTTTATAGAGTATATAACATCTTTTGAACCTCAATTTCATCAACCCATGGGTATACTGCTTGTTCCATTTACTATACAAAGTTGAGAAATAAATGAGGTAAACTTTAAATAACTAAATACCTAAAAATAACGTTAAATACGTTATTTTGTTAAAAAGTGCAATGCAGTTGTGAAAGGCATCATCATTATTATATTCCTAAGGAGTACTTGGTGAAGAGTGTCATTGTTAAGAAATTACCTGGAAGAGTATGGTAGAGATGCTAGCTGACCACCCAAAATTCAGTTTCTCTTCTTCCTGGACCTACAACTGCACTGTTTCTCGGCCTTCCTTGTATTTAGGCATAGTCATGTGACTGAGTTCTAACTAAAGGAGTGAACAGAAATAATTTGCACCATTTCTGAGCCTGGCCCATGAAAACTTCTTATGAGGGATCCTCTGAACTTTTTTCTCCTTCTGTCTGGCCGTAACGAAGACAGCTTTCAGGGTAACCATGGAAGCCACTCATTAAAGGTTGTAGGACTCCTTGAATCTCCTATGCCTTCATGGAGGAAAGCTACCTGCTAACTTTTCACCCATCCAGTTCTACTACATGAACAAGAAATCAACTTCTATTGTGTTTGAGTTATTACTTTTGAGGTCTGCTTGTTACAGCAGTTAGAATAGCCCTATTATAAGGAGCTTGCTAACACATGTTCTGCTTTTCTTTAGTGCTTTGCTTTTTCATAATCTTATAACAGCTTTACAAGGGGTAACAATATAAAGATATAAATATATAGACTTATGGTCTATATGTGTATAGTCTGTGATCCAAAATTGAGAGAATTATATTTTGTCATTTGAAATTTTTTTGGCTGAAAAAAGTTAAATGAAGTTTATAACTTGTCAAAATTTAATTAGATAATTTATCTATTTTTCACTTTTTCATTATTCGAGGCCAAGGATCCAAAGGAATATAATCATGCTACAATTTTAAAGACCATGATTCTTTTTACTCCAGTTCTTTCTCTATTTATTAGATGGTTCTGACCCATTTTGTTATAAAAGCTTTTTGCTAGGAAGGGGTTAATGGTATCTAGACAAATTTTTTTATCAAATTTGTATGCCCAAAAATTGTAGGGCAACATATTTTCAAAATATGCCCTTGTTACCTTCCTAAGGAATATTGAGGAGATTCAAGTATACATATATTTTTTTATCTGTCAACTTTTACCCAAAGTTACCCGAAGTATTCTCTCATACTCTTAATTGGGCGGAGGAAGGGGGTCATTGTAAATGTATTTAGGTTTGAAGTGGTTTCATAATATCCCTAATAGCCAATACAGTGGTAATCAGTCTGCACCTTTTACTTTCTAGAATATTTTAATTGCAGAAATAAAATACCAACAAATATAATGAAAACAGCTGTCACACAACTTACGCACTATACTGCCTAGTGAAAAAGCTACCCCTTTTCTTCTTAAGCAAAAGTTTAATTTTATCCATTATGTTTAGTAATCTGACTTCCCCTGGGAAGCTTAAGTTCTTCTGTGGGTTACAGTTAATTTAAACCAGGAAACAAGCTGTGACAGCAAATTCGAAATAGAGAAAGGTAACAAACCTTATAGCAAAGCTTTAAGAGATAACAGCAGAGGACAGAGTACCATAAGGAAAGAAGAGAAAACTAATTGTATAGGAATCTGAGGGAATGAAGTGAATTGACAAACTGAGTCCTATTTTCTTGGATACCTTTTAGGAGTATTGAACTATGATAGTACATACAGTAATTGATATTAAAAATTACACTGAAGCAGCATACAGCTAAATTATGTTCAGAATACATTTAGGTAGAATGTGAAGTACATTTTAGAATTTCTTCAGAACTTACTGCACTTAAGTTTGAGTGGTTCTTAATTATCTGACCATTTTATTTAAATCAGAATGGCTTATTTCCTAACCAAATATCTAATTTTTAAAAAATTAGTTTTTTTAGTTGCATGATTTTTTCATGTACTTTTTTTAAGTACATGACTATTGATTTCTGATTACCTAGTTATTCACCTTCAAATGCAGTTCCTTCAAATTATTAACCTAGGAGTGGTTTGGTTTCCTCTCTAGCTATGACAGGAAGAGGCCACATTTTTAAAAATCAGATTCCTTTAAGAAAGTCAAACTTTATTATAATTACTAACATTTGAGATTTTGTACTTTGATTTTTAAAACAAAATGTAATCCAGTTGGTATCTTTTCCTGTAGATGGATTTTGATACTTACATTTAGCTTCTTTTCAGAAAGGTATGTCTATATTCTTTGGAACTTATCACTTGCTTTTCTAGAAAAATTTTATTTCAGTACAGTAGAAATTGTTTTCTACTTGGCCAATCATTTGTTTATGGGTACTTGGTGGTGGAAACAGCTGAAATTTTATTTCTTCAATTTATAAATGGAGTAAATAGGCATTGCAGTTGTACCGAAAGGGAAATATGTTTTATTAAAGTAACTTCGCAGGGTTATTCTTCATAGCACACTAAAGACACTCCTAAACAAAATCTCCCACAGTCTTACACATAGTAGATGTTTAAAAGAGATGTGTTGAATGAATGAGCATTGGATTTAAACTAGTTATCATTGTCATAGGAACCTACAGGTAAAGTCTCAGATGTCATTTACTAAAAAGAATTTTAACTGGAAAATGTTAAACATTATATACTAATTGTACTTATTTGTATCTGGGATACAGGTGGCGATAAAAATTATAGATAAATCTCAGCTGGATGCAGTGAACCTTGAGAAAATCTACCGAGAGGTACAAATAATGAAAATGTTAGACCACCCTCACATAATCAAACTTTATCAGGTATGACTTAGCCTTACAGCTCTACATGCTTCCTCACATTCATTTCTCTATTTTGTATCATTATTTTTTTCTTTTATGTTAGTTTTTTTCAGCCTATGAAAAGGAAAACAAAATGCTTTTGTTAAGCTGAGTACATCCATATTTCTATATTTAAATAAAAAATTAAGAAAATAAAAACTACTAGTAGCTTAATTTTAAGTTGTCTCTCAGACTATAAATTATTTATTTAAAAAGTTTATATTTTTGCATTTGTGATACTGTGCTTCAACCTGCTAAGTTTCAGTGGCAGTACCATTAATGAGGGTATGGCATTTTTCCTTATTTAAGAAACATACTATTTATGTTTTATGAAATACAAAAGCCAAAATAGTAGTGGCATACTTTGTAATACCTAGAGCCAAATCTTGTATTTTGTTTGAGTTGTTTTATCAGATAAAATAAATGAGCCATTTTTTTAAAAATCAACTTTATTAAGATAATTTTTGTAAAATAAACTACCATTTTCAAGTATAAGCCATGTTTTTTTAAAAGGAAGATTTTTCTCAAATTTTTAAAGAGTAGTTCATGTTTAAGAATAGTAATGTAATACAAAACTTTTAATATTTTTATTCATTAATATGTAGAGTTTTTATAGAAAACTAGTTTTAAACTAAATTGTTACGATATGCTAGCCAATGACTTTGATCTCCAAAGTATAGGGTATGCACCTAGTAGTGGTATGCTGGACTTAGCCTCTACTGGCTGGTGAGAGCAGATGATTAAGTTTCCAGAAGTGTAGTGAGCAAATTAATATGTCAGTAGCTCAAAGTCAGGGATGGTATGAGTATTTCCACCACAGATGTCAGTTTACAAGCAGAGCCATTTTTTCCCTCAGAGCTAGTACTAGCACACTACTCTGTGTGCACTGAAATGGGTTAGCATAAGTGTTTGTTAGGGTATAATAAGAAAATGCTAGAACTCCTAATTAAGATTATTTTTAAGATTTATCTTCTGTTTGCATTTTATAATGTGCATAATGTATTTATACAGTGGTGCAATTATATAATTTGCATCTCTGCATCTGTTCATAATTACATATATTTGACCAAACAACTTTTATTGATAGAAATTTGCAATTAAAAAGATTTGGAGACATTAGCATTACCATTGGCTAAGAATTAGACACTATGGCGTGCCACTCAAAACAGTTCCTAAAACTATAGAGGACCTCTTAGGTTAAATTTACGTCGAAATATTTCTCCCTTTAAGCTTTTTTTTTTTTTTTAAGCTCCTGAAGAGGATACTTATAAGAAAATAATCACATTCGTAGAAGTCTCTGATGAACCATATTGCCAAACCGAGATTCACATGATACTTCTGTTTATTTAAACTAAGTAATTAGTTAAATTGATTTACTGTTTGACTTTTTTAGGCCCTAATTGTAGGTAGCCCTTAGTTTTCTCACCTGATAGGGGATAATCCTAAACCTATATGTTAGAGCAAAATTAGTTTCAGCCTTTCAATAGATAGCAGTTAAATTTTATGTTATTAGATGGCAGTTAAATTTTGTGTAGTACATAAAAGGATAGAGTGCTACAGAGAAGCACTCTAAAATTCACCTATTCTGAATCTATAAATTCATATCCTTTCAGTTCAGTATAGTTTGAAAAATCAAGTTTATGACAAAGACACCATTCCTTTCTGAACTTAGAAAATTTTAAATTAAAATAAAAGTGTATAGCAGTGGAGTTATGAAGCTTTTGAACAGTATTTTAAAATAATAGTACTTTATAACAACATTAAAGTGCAATAGGAGGAATATCACATTGTGCCAGATTAACTAGGCTACAGGCCAGATAAAATGAGCTCTATTTTATTATTTTCTTAATCAGAATCTACCATAGGGCTAGAAAAGTCAGTGAGAAGGTGGTAAAAACTTGATCTTTAAAGCTCTTATTACCTATATTAATATTTCTCAAACTTAAATGTGATAACAATCACCTGGGGATTTTGTTAAAATGTAAATTCTGTGTCAGTAGATCTGTGGTGGGGCCTGAGATCCTGCATTTCTAACAGACACCTGGGCAGTACTGCTGCTGCTCGTCTATGGACCACACTTGGAAGAGCAACGATCTAGATTTTTCACTAAGTGAAAAAGGATATTGTCCATCTTGTAAACACTGCCAATGTCTGAATTGTTTATAACTTTGACACTTTTATTAGTAGTTTTAAAATAGGTAACTACAAAAAATGTTATGGTAAATTGCAGTCCTTTCCTGTCAGAATAATATGCAATTATTTGTCAATAGGTAATGGAGACCAAAAATATGTTGTACCTTGTGACAGAATATGCCAAAAATGGAGAAATATTTGGTAAGCACTTTTTCTTAATTGTTTTTAAATTCAGAAATGTCACTAATTTTCATAAACAGAGTATTTTCTGTTAACTTCCTGCCTGTTTAAGAATTGGTAATATGAATTAGAAAATTTTAAGCATTAGAATATAATAAAGTATCCAGTAAGCTAAAAATATGGACTATAATTCTCTTGTATTTATAATATTAATGCTACTACTTAATTTTCTCACCTGTGTTAAAGAGATTGGAGAATTAAAGACAGGGAGAAACTTTCAGTCATAACGCAAGGGAGATTCTCTTTCTTTTTATCTTTTTACCTTTCTTTCCAGGGGAAAGATCAGCAACAAATATTTATCAAACTCCTACTATGTCCCAGGCATTTTACTAGTATAAGGGATAAAGTGGTGACCTAAATAACACAATCCCTGCCATTTTGGATCTTAAACAGTTTAGTAAGCCATTAACTTTAGCTATAAGTCCTTGGGCAAGTCACTCTACTTCTCTGGGACTTAGTTCCTTTATCTAGTAAGAAAGTATTTGACTAATTGGTTTCTGTGATCCATGTTAACTCTTAAAAAATGATAAATATTTTATTCTAGTTTTCATCTCTTTTATTTTTACTCAGTAGAGCCAGAGCACTATAGATAGCCTAAATATTTTTTATTTTTAACCTAAATTTAAATCTAATACTGTTTTGAGGAATAATTCACATACAATAAATTGAACATACTTAATGTGTACAATTTAATATGTTTTCACACACACATACACTTGTGTGGAAGAAACCATCACCACAATTAAAATATCTATCACTTCCAAAAGTTTTTTTGTGCCTTTTGTTATCTGTCTTTCCCCACCTTAGCACCAGGCAACTATTGATCTGTTTTGTGTCACCGTAAATTGTTTGTGTCTACTAGAGTTTTATATAAATATAATCATACAGTGTGTACTCTTTGTCTGGTTTATTTCTCTCTGTATAATTATTTTAAGATTTATTCATTTTCTTACATGTGCCAACTTATTTCTTTCTATTGTAAATAGGTCCTATTATATGACTGTACTTCAAGTGGCTTATCCCTTCATGTTTCAGTTTTTGGCTATTATACATGAATTGCTATGAACATGCATGTACAAGTCTTTAACTTATAATCTACGTTCAAGTAATATTCAGCAATTCACATATAGTATAAGAATCTTACAATAATATACTTCTGTTTTGCCTTTCTGAACTTTATATTCTTGTCATACATTTTTTTAATATCTGTTTTATAAAACACAAAATACAGGATCATTATTTTTGTCTAAGAAGTCAATTATGTTTTAAAGAGATTTCAGTGTTATTTTAAACTTTATATATTTACCAGTGGGGTTACCATTGCCACATCTCTGTATGTATTTGCATGTTTTCATCTTTCCTTTGTGTAGATAACATATTTTCATCTGGTGTCATTTTTTTTTCTGTCTGAAGGATTTTATTTACCATTTCTCATAATGCAGGTCTGTTAATGATGAAACCTTTCAACTTTAGTATGTCTAAAATCTTTATTTTCTCTGTTTTTGAAAGATATATGTGCTGGGTATATAATTGTAGGTTGACTCTTTTTCATTCAGTACTTTAAAGATGTTACTCTATTGTCTTCTCATTTGCATTATTTCTGACAAGAAATCTGTCATATTTTTCTTTATTCCTCTGTATGTAATGTGCCTTTTTTTCTCTGGCTAATTTTAAGATTTTTCTCTTTATCTCTGCTTTCAACAATTTGATGATGATGTGCCTTTGTGTGGTTTTTTTCATGATTCTCATGTTTGATGTTCATTGAGCTTCTTGGATTTGTGAATGTACAGTTTCCATCAAATTCAGAAATTTTTCAGCCATTTTTTTTAACTAATTTTTCTGACCCACCTCCTCTCTTCTTTAGAGACTCTAATTTATACATATATTAAGCTGTTTAAAATTGTCCCACAGCTCACAGATGCACTTTTCCATTTTAAAAATTCCTATTTCTCTCTGTATTTCATTATGGATAGTTGCTATTTCTGTGTCTTAAAGTTCACTAATCTTTTTTTCTGTAATGTCTAATCAGCCATTAATCTCATCCAGTTTATTTTTCATCCTGGACATTGTCGTTTTCAACTCTATAACTTGACTAGGGCCTTTTTAAAAAACATCTTCCATGTCTTTTTGAACATATGGAATACAGTTTTAATAACTTTTAGTGTCCATGTCTTCTAATTCTGGCATCTGTATCAGTTCTGAATCAGTTTTTAATGGTTGATATTTCTCAATTTTAGTCTTACTTTTCTGCTTCTTTAACATGCCTGATAGTCTTTGACTGTATGCCAGACATGGCCAATTTTACCTTATTGGTTGTGCATCTTTTTATATTCCTATAACTAATCTTGAACTTTGTTCTGGGATGTTGTTACTTGGAAATAGTTTGATCCATTTGGGTTTTTCTTTTATGATTGGAGCAGTGCTCAGTCTAGGTCTAATTATTTCCCACTTCAGAGTACTCTACTCAGTACCCCATAAATTCTAGGTGAGTAGGTTGGTTGGTTGGTTGGTTTTACCTGGCCAGTAGAAACAGGCAGTATTCCCAGTACCAGGCACTGTTCTCTAATCCTCTCAGACAGTTCTTTCTTTGACCTTGAGTAGTTTTCTCACACACATGTGGCGATCAGTACTCTCGTGAATGATTAAGGGAGACCTTCTGCAGATTTTGAATTTTCTCTGTGTGTAGCTCTCTCTTCTCTGGTACTCCATTTTATGGCCTCTATTCTCCTTGTTCTTTCTACTCTCAGTTCTTTCTCCTCAACTCAAGGACTTTGTTGGGCTCTGCTTGGGTTTCCCATCTGTGTTGTGGCCTGCACACTCTCAAGGCATTAGTTGAGGGCATTCACTGATCTCACCTCATTTATTTCCTGTCTTTCAGGGATCCCTCATTCCTTGCCTGATGTTCAGTGTCTTATAAACCAATGTCAGTTTTTTTGTTCGTTTGTTGGAAGGAGAGGTTTGTTTCAGGCAGAAGGGTAAATTCAGTTCCTGTTACTCCATCTTGGTTGAAAGCAGAAGTCTCTAAGCCTCTCAAAATTATCTTTAATTTTAGTTGTTTTAAAAAGAGGGAATTATAGCTACTTCTGTAGTCTTGAAAAATGTATTATCTATAGCTGAATTCTAAATAAATAGTTCCAATTTAATTATTTTCTAATTGTATTTCAGGAAAGACAGTTGGCTTGCCTCTTTTACTTACTTTTCCTTTTTTTATGCTACTGTTTGTTGAGCTTATTTAAATTCTTAAGATATTTCTTTCAACTAGAAACTTCTTAACTGATGTTAAAATAGAATGGTATGGGCTTTGAAGCCAAGCAGATCTGAATTATATTGCTGGCTATACCATATTAATTGTTGCATTGCTTTGAGCAAGTTTCTTCCTTTCTTTCCTTCTTTCTTTTTGTTCTTTTCCATTCTCTTTTATTACATTCAGTCAGTCTTTCGAGAAAACTTTAATGAAAAACAGCTATGTTACACACACTGTTCTATGTGGTAAGAATACCACAACAAAGAAAATAACAAAAATATCTGTTCTCATGAACTTTACATACACTAGTGTGGGAGACAATAAACAAAACAAGTAAATTATATGATATATTATATGGCAGTAAGTGCTTTGGAAATAAAGCAGAGAAGGGGGCATGTGTAGTAGGGAATTTGATTGCAAAATAAAGTAGCATGGTCAGGGAAGGCCTCGCTGACATTCGAGCAAAGACTGGAATGCACAGTCATATAGATATGGGGGAAAGAGGGTAATCTAGGGAGAGGGTAAATGCAAAGGTCCTGAGGCAGCAGTGTGTTTGGCGTGTTCAAGGAATAGGAGAGAGGCCACTATCGCTGGAGAGAAGCAGGAGGGAAGAGCAAGACTGAGCAAAGAGGAAGAATAGTAAGAGATGAGGTCAGAAAGGTAAATGAGAGGCAGCAGTGGGGAAGATTTAGGGGCTTTGTAGGCCACTGTAAGAACTTGGCTCTTGAATAAAATTAGGGAACCATTAGAGAGGTTTGAGCGAAGAAGTGATTGCATCTACTTTAACATTTTAAAAGCATCCCTCTGGCACTGTGTTGAGAATAGATTGTAGTGCGGGAAACTAGGTAGGAGATTGGCTGTTGCAGTAGTCCAAGTGAGAGATGATGATGGCTCAGACCAGGTTAGTAGCACTGCATGTAGTACTAAGTGGTCAGATTTAAGATATGTTTTGAAAGTAGAAACAGTAGGATTTCTGGACAGATGGAAGTGACCTAAGTAGTGGGTATGATTAAGGAAGATACCAATGTCTGAACCCTGAGGCACTCAAACATTAAAAGTTGGAGAAAGAGGAGGAACCAGCAAAGGAAACAAAGAATACCAAGACAATACAGTATCCTGAAAACCAAGTAGCACTTGGTTACAGTGGTGCTTCGGGATGAAATAGAAAGAAAATGAGTTTGTTAATATAGAATAGATTTAATTCATTCTGTAATGTAGCAGATGGAACATCCAGGAAAGAGCAGTACATTAGACACTGTAGTGTAGGGACAGATTAGAGCAGCTGGTGGTACTCATAATGACTGTCAAGGGATGAATAAAAGCATTGATAATTAGCAATCTGAGGGGTTCATAGTAGATTCACAGTCAGCAGTGCTTTCCAACTTGGTAGGAGAAAAAGTAGACAATATGAATGACCTGGCTTGGGGATTGGAACAGTAAAAGGTCAAATGCATGTAGGAGTTGCTATGGCCAGAGAGGCCAGAGTTGAGAGGCTGCCAATGAGATCCAAGTTCAGGAGGGAGATAAGTGAAACAACAAAGGGGTCTCATGAGCTAAGAATATAGAACAGTAGAGTGATGAAGATTATGAAGAGGATGAGGTATTTTCAGGAAAAATTCATATATAAAAAACCTAACCTTGAACCTGTACATAGCTTCCTAGCAGCTTGCCACTTTCAAGTTCTCTTCTGCTCTTGGCACTGACTGCCCTAACTGTG